TTTTTTTGGTTCCTCGAACGCCTTCAGGGCACTTTTGGCCAGCGGGAGAGTTGTGAGGTTCGAACTCCAGCAAGCTGAGGCTGACAGCTTTGTGGAAGCAGCCACTTAAAGGCCTGAGCTAGGGCCAGGCCCCCGCTCACTGTGCATTCTAAAGGAATAGTTGCATGAAGTATGTTCATTGTCCTTGTTGAATGTACTCCAAATGAAAAATGTCTGCTAAATTTAGCTGTAGGAAAGGCTCCAATGCAGGAAAAATGTTTCAAAAACAATAGCTTAAAACACTAGGATTAATATCTAATTTTAGTTTAAGCTTGAGAATTCTGAAGAAAGTTAATAGTCTTACTTTCATTTCTTAGCGGCCTTCTAGCCAAAACTAAGTCTCTTAATACTAATATTTACATTATGTTTTTAACTTAGATTATTTCCCTGTTTTTCCTCCAGAAAGTAAACCAGAAGTATATAACCAACAAGGAAGAGTTTACTACTCTCCAGAAAATAGTGCTGCACGAAGTGGAGGCGGATGTAGCTCAGGTTAGGAACTCAGCTACTGAAGCCCTCTTGTGGCTGAAGAGGTGAGGCAGTTGGTGGGGCAGCAGCTAAAATCCAACAATTGAAATGTTACCAGCAAAAAATTGTTGTGTAGAGACTACTTTCAAAGAACAATCTAGCCAAATTATGTTGCCTTTCTAGAAGGGCACCTTTTTTGTATCTGTTTTGATTGATGTGGGGGGGGGATTAGAAATCTTAAAGGATAAGAAAGCTCATTCTGTTTAAGTCAGTGTTTCTCCTACTTTATTGGCATCAGAATTTCCTGAAGGGCTTGTTTAAAACACTGGATTTAAAAGTAGATTTTTTTTTTTTTGGTCTTAAATCTAAGGTAAGGCCCTGGAATTTACAATGTCTAATAAATTCCAGGTGATGCTACACCAGTCGTGGGACCACAATTTCAGAGCCACTGCTTTAGGTATATTAGATTGGGTAAGAGAAAGGTCCAGAGCATCATGCAGGGACATGACAAGCAAGAAACTCAGAAAAGACTACTGTTTGATTTGGCCAGTGTATTGCTATGTTGAGATGTTACTGAAGGAAGAGTATTGGTATCTGCCATTTTTTATGCTCAGTCAATGTAAGGAAACCTTGAAAATATTTCTTTCTCTTTTTTTATTTCAGAGGTCTCAAATTTTTAAAGGGATTTTTGACAGAAGTGAAAAATGGTGAAAAGGATATCCAGACAGCCCTGAGTAAGTGTTCTTTACATTTTGATAGATCAGTTGAGTAGTACTTGGAATAGAGACCTCTGAAGGCTGAGACAGGGTACATGAAATTTCTACTTTTCAGTTTGATTTTTTTTTTTTTTTCTTTTGTCAGAACCAGGAATTGAACTCGGGCCCTTGTGCTTGCCAGGCAAGCGCTTATTCTACTAGGCCATCTCCCTGGCCCCATTGACGTTATTTCTTACTTCATTGTTATGAATTGCATGCTTCCTGTATACTTTGTTAAAAAGGTTCCATGAGCCAGGCATAGTGGTGCATGCCTATAATCCTAGCAGAGGAAGGTAGAGGCAGGGAAATCATTGCAAATTTGAAGCCAACCTGGGCTACATAGCAAGACCATCTCATCTCTCAAAAAAAAAAAAAAAAAAAAAAAAGTGGGTGAATTATGAGACAGTGACCCTGATAATCTAGTTACTTACTAAAAAGTATAAATTGATGGAAAGTCATCTCTTAAGCTTAATGGGAAGACATATTATCAAGAAGTTTTCTTAAATAAATCTTCAAATACAGTACAATCCTCAAGTCAGTATTCAATGAGAAGCTCATTTCAGAAGCTATTAAAGGGATGGGTGGTGGAAATCCTAGGGATTTGTTCTGTAATGAGATCGAGTCAGTCACCATCCTATACTCCTTAAGTTATCTCTGTGTCCCATTTTTGTATGAGAGAACCAAGCTTTGGAGAGAGACCTTGGTCAAAGGAGATCACCCTATACAGTATATCTAGCCTCTTAGCAGTAGCATTATAGGTGCTTTGTCAGCATTAGACAAATGGATGTATGGACAGATGTATGTCTGCATCTATTTAACAAGTTTGTTCCTGTTCATTTAGGGAAATACTAAAACTTGGAAACATCCTCACAGAGATCCCAGTGGAGTAGCTAAACTTTCACATTGGTCTATAGGAAATTCTTCCAGCATAGGACTTGAGGCATGTGTGTGGGGAAAAATGAAATATCACATTATTTTGAAGCCCTGTATTCCTGTAATTTACACATTTAGATGTTGAGTGGCCATGATTATGAACAACAAAATAAACTAATTAGATGTTTCTGGTAGTGGGGGAGAGTGATCTGTGTGTTATTTTTTTCAAGTTTTACAGATAGATTCTGTCTCCTATTAGTCTTCCTTCTGGGCTATGAATTCTGAGATATTCTGCCTCTATATGATTTCCCCAAGCCACCCTGTCTAGAAATTGCTGGTGTGCCATGAAACAACTAGTGTGGACATTTCTATAACATTTTGTGCATTTAGACAACTTAATCCTCACATTAGTCTATTTTTATAGAAAGGAAATCAAAATTATGAAAGGCTAATATACTTGCTTCAGACCTCTGCAGGGTTCTGAGGTTCACTTTACAACCCTTGTCTCAAAACTCCATGTTTTCAGAGTCTTCACAATCCCCTGACCACCTTCCACTTTTAATTCCCCATAAATCTGTGTATTTCCAGGATAAGTTCGGTTATATTCTCCCCTGGTGTTGTGCTTTTAAATAGTAAACATGTATTCGTTACCTCTACATATGACCCCTAGTCATTATCCATGGAATGTTGAGGGGTGTGAAAGGACTGCTAGAACCATGGATTCTGGAATGCTTCAGGGTATTCTGTCACTAACATTGGGCTCTTAGGCAAGTCACTTAGCTTCTCTGTGCTTCCATTTTTTTTTTTTTTTAATCTATAAAATCGTACTGGTGATAACTTTCTGTAATAAAGTTGTAAAGATTATATAGGTTAATGCATCTGAAAATAATTAGAAAAGCATTAGACACATAATAAACATTCAGGAGAGGTTTGCTCTTGTTATTGTTTATACTTTTATCATCACAAGCATCACTGCCATCACATGTGAGAATAAACTGCCAGGAAATGGAGTTTATTCGTCCCAAATCATAAATGGCAGGTAAGTTTATAAAACTCAGCTCCCAAACCAGAAACTTCTCTTCAAACTAACTTCTTAATATGGACATTTCATACTGGAAGGATGATGTCACCTATAGGAAATGTAGAGTTGGGAGTCAGGCTGTGTACCTACTAAGGACTGCACAGGTTGCAAGCTGCTATGTTTGTAAAGAGGAGGAGAGCAGTGCCATTCCGCTTTAGCCTGGAGCTGGGGTAAAATAGAACCAGCTGCTCGCAGAAAAAGGCTTTGGCCATAGAAGTGGAACAGAAGTAGAGGGTAGACCCTTAGACCCTGCCCCCACACTAGTGTTGTACCTTTTTTTCCTTTAGCTGATACTTCTTATTTCATTTGGAGCTTGGACCCAGTAGATGTGGACTCAGAAGAAAGAAGAGAGTTTAACAGGAAGCTGTTTGGCGCCTGAATTAATCATAGCTGATCTCAGCTCTTCCTTTCTTCCTTTCCCCTGCAGCACTATTTTCAGTGCTGTAAAGGAGGCTGTGAATTTGATATTTTAATTCTGAAGTTCATGTTCATTTCAAACATGTTTTTCTTGATTAAAATCATTTCTTTGATTGTAGTAATCTCTAACTTCCTGCTGCTCTTCATTGAGAAAAGATGAAGTGCGCATAGCCAATTTACCCTTCTTCCCTCCAGACACAGGCATAAGAAGCTCTGTGAAAACAAATGGGGTTTATTGAGACTTGTTTACGAAGACTCCATAGGCTAGGTTTCTTGATGCATATTTCTTGTGGGATAAGCTTAGCTTTTCTCATTTTAAAGTCACAAGCTTTATAAGTGTAACCAATATCTTGTCTGAAATGAGGGATGGTGGATATGTAGACAAAACAGAGTGTGTGCTATTTACAGGCAAATGAACATTTTTTTTCTTAATTCTGAAATTGAATTTGATTTACTGTGATAATGGCTACTATTAAAGAGTACCCAGTGTAATTTTTATACTAAATTCCTAATAAACATTTAGTCTTCCAAGTAAATTGGTTTGAAGAGGGGTAGGTACCTTGCTTAGGGCTTAAAAACCTAGATCTCTGGTTGCCACATTTGCCCCAGGATAGCATCTTAACATACTTGGAAACTTAGCAGAATGCAAACCATCAGGCCTCTCTTCAGGCCTGCTGAATCAGAGACTATAATAGAGCCTGGCAGTGTTTTAACTAGTCATTCAGGGATGTTTTGATTCATACTGAAGCTTGAGACCTGCTCATCTACCAGTAGATCTAAGACATTGAAACTCACCTGCCACTTGACTACATCTTGATTACTTGGAGACTTTTTCCCTCCTTGTAGCCGAAGGGTTATGAATAAGCAGAAGGTTAGTCATAGCATTAGTTCATTTGGCCTCCTTTTCATAATTAGATAGCTTTTCAGTAAAACACTGCTTTAGAAATGTTTTGAAGTAAATGCTCGTAAAACTTTTATAGTCTTAGTAGGCTTGGAGATGGGTGATAATATGTTAGAGTCCTAAATAATACATTGGATGCAAGCATGGTAGTGTATGCCTGTAATCCCAGCACTCAGGAGGCTGAAGCAGGAGGATCACTGTGGTTTTGAAGCCAACCTGGCTACATAGTGAGTTCAAGACAGATCTAGACTACGTTGCAAGACCCTATCTCAAAGGAAACAAGTAACATTGGAATGAGTGATGTCCATTAATTTTCTGGAAAATGTATTTGTTGTCATTGTATTGCTTCATATAGCATGGAAGAGCTCCCAGTACATGGCATGGGGCCTGACGCTTCACACTGTACCCCTCACCCCCTTCTTTTAACCTGGGCCATGAATTAGATTCCTCGTAATAACATTCAGAATATAACATTTGGGTTAGTCTCATGCCAACAGTTATCATGTACCCTTAGCATCCTGTGTCACACAGAGTCATTTGAAGGAAGGCGTTAAGTCTTCAAGGCAGATGTATTTAATAGTCTGCCCTAGGAATGAACCCTCTATTTGCAGATGCCATATCAAAAAGGTTTGGGGAAGCACCCTTGTAAGTAGAAGGAAGAAAGGTTGCTCTGGCATTTCATGCACCATTGTACTAAATGCTATGTGCTCTGTCCTGTTCTTTCGGCAGGCTAGCATATTGCTGTATCTCTCACTTCAGAATGATTCCATAAATGTCAAGGAAAAATTAACCCTATGATCATCTCTGGCACAGAATAGAAAACGTAAAGGATGCCCAGTCGTGTGTTAATGTAAAAGGCTTTCAGAGACAAGGAAAACTAAGCAAAAGAACTCATGCTTGTATATTTAATATCAAAGCTTAACTTGACTAATTGTTCAGAAAACACTGTGGAACATTAATCTTTAGTAATGCCCTCTACAGAGCCGCTTACAGCATGTGTCTGTGCTGGCAGGATTGGCTAGCAACCAACTTCTTCCTCATGGTAATGTCTGGGTTGTTTTGTTTTGTTTTGTTTTGTTTTTTAAAGAGTTGTACATTTTCATGAGCAGAATTAGGTGCTAATTCTTTAGGAAATAGCTGGCAAGGGCACATTTTTTATTTTCATTATTGTTTGACAAAGAATAAATGGTAGTTTGTACCAGAATGGTTTTGAGGTGATACCCAGATTCCTCTTGAGTTCTTACTGCTTTTTAGCTTTATAACCTTGGACAAGTCACTAGTCTTCATTTGTAAAAGGTAGAGAATCAGCAAAAGTGATTGTCAAGTGTTCCTAGTAGGAGGTTTTGATTCAGTGTCTGGGGAACTGACATGTTTCAAAGAATTGGGGAAGAGGTGGCATTTATTTTTGGCCTCTTTCAGAGGCCAAAAATATTCTCAGATTATAGGGTGTGCATTATGATAACGAATGGATATTATTGTGAAGATTAATGTATTGCATTATCTAGTCTTCTCTAGGTAACCAAAATAGGTCAAGCTTAGACTTCATCTTATTTTAATGCGCCTAATGTGGCAAGGATATTTGTAGCGCTAGAAGTCAGTTAAGGATTTATGCCTTTTTAAAAATGGGTTTTAGTTCATTTGTTGATTTTAAATTTCAGCAGTTGACTTCTTGGCCTGATGTAAGACCCAAACCAAATTCTGTGATTCTTCCATTAGGCCATCTGGATCATCTTGACATGGGACTCTTCTTTGTCCAGGTGCAAGTACAACAAGCAACAGCTGCTTCCTCTGAAGGGCCAGATAAGCAGATACAGATGGTACTACATAGGCACATGTCTTGGGTTAGGGTGACTATGCTATTTAGACTCGTAGAATACGTACTTTTCTTCTTATCGTCTTCCTGCCCTTTAGAAGGATGGCATGGAGAAGAGTTTCTAAGATTTTTTGAACAGTTGGCCTTGATAGCAAAGGTATTAGGTGTAGGAAATGTATAAGGTCTCCAGGGCTGATGTAGTGCAGAACCCAGAACCCTCTTACATAAGTAGTTTGTCCAGTCAAGTGGCTTTGAAAGCTCAGGACCCAGGACCACTGTATCTGAAACTTACTGTCCAGGAAAGTGCTTATTCCACTGAGCCATCTCCCGGGCTGAAACTTACTGTCCAAAAGTTTGAGTCTCAACTTATTAATTCCCTTATAACAGTTCCAAGTTGGAATGACACTTTTCTGTTTGATGGTGACTTTTTGGGGGTTTTTTTGTATGTGTTGGGAGGGTGGTTGAGACAGAGTCTAGCTATAGAGTTCAGACTGGCCTTGAATTCACTATGTAATCCAGGCTGGCCTTGAACCCATGACAATCCTCCTACATCAGCCTCCTGAGTGCTTGGATTACAGGTGTGCACCATTACATCTTGCCTACTTTTTAACGCATTCTATAGGATAGCAATTTTTTTTTGTTCCATAGAAGAGTATTTCCCTGGAATGCCCACTATGGTTACGTCTGAGAGAAATGATGAGCAGTGATGGTGAACCAGTGGCACATGTTCTACAACACAGTGTTTTCGTTGAAAGCTCTAAAATGTTTGACATGACTGGACTATAGGTTTCTTCAGTTCTTCCTGTTTTTAGTATTTTTCTTATTTTCTGTAATAGTCATGCATTATTTGTTAAATCAGGAAATAATGTTATATTTTTAAGAAGTGCCACTATGCTGTAGAAGTTCAGAATCTTTGACATGATGGATAAAGGTCCTCTCAGTTTGGCTCTAGCCCCCTACCCTGCCATGGTTAGTTGCTCACTAATGCTCAGCATGCCATGACCTACCTGTTCAGTTCCATTGTGCGTCTGCCTGTGACTTCCCACTCACTGACCTTCTCTCCCCAGACTTTGGGTCTTTTAATGCTTTCTGTCCACCATATCAGGCTGGATTTATCTCTGTCCCTGTAACACTATGTACAAATGTATATAATAACTGTTAGCAGCCTCCCTTATAACCACCAACCAACTTGTACCTTGTGCAGTATGTGGAGTGTAGTAGACTTGCTCAAAATTCTTAGGCAAACCAGTTGTTCCTCGTAGATACCCACCAGCAGATTTAAATGTGTTTATAATGATATTTGATGCCCTGCCTGATTACATTCACAAAAAAATAAGAAGTCTCACTATCATGGTACCTCACTAACTCCCCTAAGGTTGTTTTCTATGGAATTGTGTACTCCCTTGCCAGCCCAGATGGCTTGTCAGATGGTTAAAATGGTTGGAAATATGGTTGTCTTGCTGGTTTTTCTAGTGTCTGTGTCTGGTGTCACTGTCTGTACCATATACTTGTGGATCAGCAACTCCCTTCTTAAGACATCTCCACAGGCCTTGTGTACCACCTGAAATTTCCCTGATGCCACATGTCCCTTCCAGAGAATCAGCCTGCTTTGTGATTTACTTAAGATGTCTTTGACCATTCTCTGGTCTACTCGGTGTTTCCTGAGGAAACTTAAATTTAATCTCAGTTTCTCCTTTAGGCTAAGTCATCTTCACACGACTTTAACTCTGTATTACCTTTGCTTGAGCTTTACCACATTGAATACTGGCATTTCACCCTGATCTTTTTATTTGACAGCCAGGGAATCTGTTGGTTATAGTCCAAAGGTACAGTTTTTAAAAATACATTACAACTAATATTGAGTAGATTTTTTATTCTTTTATAAAAACATAATTGTATTTGTACAGATTCAAACTATGTAAAATAAAATAGGACATAGAAATATTAATAAAGCTTCCAGATTTTTAAAATGAAGGTTGACCCTGCTCACTTCAGCAGCACATATACTAAAATAAGAATTAATAACATAATTACAAAGCTTGGAATTTGAATTATCTGTGAAGTGTCAGTAAGCTCCAGTCACAAGGCAGGGTCATTTTGGAAAGTGAAATGCAAACATCTAACTGCCTGTGACATATTCTGTGAACTACATTGTTTTTACTGTGTAGGAAGTTGTACTTGTTATCTTACTGTCACTATTATTTTAGCATTTCTTATTTTAATTGAAAATATTTTATAGCTGATTACAATGTCACCTATGCATTTATTAAATGATTGTAGTACTTGTGCTAGGTGCTGAAAGTAGTACATGAAAAAATAACTTTGGAATGGGGAATTTAGATGTAGTCAGAAAAGTACAGAGGTAAAGGTCAAACAACCACTGTGATACACTTTCTGTGCTAGTAATACTGCTGAAGGTGATACAGATGAAGTGGAGCTGAAGTATAAGTTCTGTGTGGTGATGTAATCTGTATCTACTAAGAACCCATTCATTCCTGTGGGAAAATCAGATCTGAATTTTCCATGTGTTGAATAATTCCAAACTTCAGGAATATATTCACTGCATAAAATGCCTCTGTTCTTGTGAATATTTTGTGATTAAAAACTTGAGAGAGGGGCTGGGGAGATAGCTCTGTGGTCTAAGCACCTGCTAGGCAAGTAGAAAGACCTAGGTTTGATTCCCCAGTACAGTATGCCATGCTGGCCCCAGAACCCTGGGTGTACTGTGCCGGCTCCAAAACCAGGCATGGTGGTGTACACATGTAATCCTAACAACAGGGAGGCTGAGACAGGAAGATCTATTCAAGTCCAAGCTTTATAGTAGGACCCTGTATCAAGAAAATGAAAGATTAAAAAATAATTACATGAGGGCCAAGGAGATGGCTCAGTAGAATAAACGCTTGCCTGGCAAGCACAAGGGCCTGAGTTCAATCCCTGGTTCTGCCAAAAATAATAATAATTATTATTATTATATGAATAAAAATACCTTAAGAGAAACATAATAGACAACTTTTTGTCTTTAAAGTACAAAACATGAATGACTTTAATTAATAGGCTTTTCACCAATTACTTTGTAATTAATAAATTCAAGCCGTTCTTTCATTACATTGTTTGTTTTGGGTGGACATTTTAGAGAGTGAATTTTTTTTTATGTATTTAGTACAGGGTCTACAGGGTCTCACTATACAGACTGGACTCGTAGTGATCCTCCTGTTTTCAGCTTCCCAAGTGCTGGGATTGCAGATGTGCACCACCATGCCCAGTCTGTCGTCGTCTCAGTGCACCCCAAGGGCGGTGCCCACACAGCACACTGGGATTGAACCCTGGTCCCTGTGCCTGCCTAAACAGGTGATTTAGTCTGCTAAGCTATCTGGCCGGTCCTGAGTGATCATTTTTTGAGATGAGGGTCTCCCTGTGTGGCCCAGACTGGCCTTGAACTCCTGTGTTCAAGTGTTGCTTCTACCTCAACTTCTTAATTAGCTGAGAGGACAGCACACATTACCATGCATAGCTTTTCCATGTTTTTAATGGTTTCTAGTTTTAACTATTAATTTAGGGCCTTAGGGACACTGACTGCAGACATTTGACATCCCATAATAATGTTTAAATTTGAAAGAACCTTAGAGATCGTTTTACAAAGGAGGAAACATGGTAAGAGAGGATAGCTAAGAGCTGAACTTTTAAAAATTTTAAGTATTTTTAATTTTATGCTTAGTCTCAATTTTTCAATATCCTTTCCTCCCTCTTAATTCTTTATGTGTGTGTATATATATATATATATATATATATATGCTGAGCTTTTCCTACTATTGATGCAGGATAAGAGTAGTCTGAATCTATTTTTCTTAAAAAGAAAATAATCTAAGTACATTTTTTTCTGTGCAAGACTTTGGGGATAGTTTGGTAATTAGATATTCTCACCAGTTCCTAAAATGTATAGGACTATACTGTACCATACATTGAAAGTACAGCGTAACAAGAAGCATCTCAAATTCTGTTATACTCACTCCTCATGACATTCCTCATTTTTTTCTTCTCAAGATAACGCATATGGAAAAACTTTACGGCAACACCACGGCTGGGTAGTTCGTGGAGTTTTTGCGGTAAGTCATCTCTATCCTCATGATGTTTGGATGGTCAGAAGCAAGATGTGTTGTGTGTGTGTGTGATATCCAGTTGGTTTATTTTTGAGATAAGAAGAAAAGTTGCTCGTTTCATTTATGTTTACAGGCCTTCACGGTGTGTGAAAATATCAGCAATAAAAAGTATCTAGAATAGCAAAGACTGTTTAATTTTTCTTTTTTCATACTGGGAATCAAACTGAGGATCTTGCACTTGCCAGGCAGGCATTTGTGCCACTGAACTACATTCCCAACCTTGTGAAGAGTTTTAAAAATATGCTTTAACCCTGTTTAATTCCAGGGACTTCGTGGAGAGATTTATCTCAAAAATGGTTGCCTGTCCAATATCTAGTATAAAGCTCAAGTGTCAATGTCAGACATAGGTAGGTAGCAGGGATCCTAAGTACTGTTGAGGGGAAATGACAAATTCCAACTCAAGTGATAAATTCCAACTAATAGTTCCCTCTCCCACCCATTGTATTCAATTATTATTTAATTCCTGGCTCATACCTGACTTTTTTAAGGCTAAATGTTATCTTTGAATGTTAACTGTATTGGTTTGACCAGTAGGTAGGGTTAGAAATCTCTTCTTTTTTAGTTGTTTAAATGTTTGTATTTATGTGTTTGCCTCATGTTATTCACCACCTCTCCTTTCCCAGCATGTTGGAACACAAAACCAGGAATCTTACTCCCTTAGACAACTCACTTAGCCTGCTTTGTAATTAGCAGGTGTAGGTACTCCTTTAGACGCTCACGCTTCCCACTCCAGAAGGATCAGTCTTAGTGAAATGGAGCTGTGAGAAGACAGAGTCTCCTTGTCATTATACACTGGGAATCGTCATAGAATATGAGTATTCTTTGTAAGGAAGAAGATAAAATAGCCTTGCAGAGAATACCTTTTACTGATTTAAAGTATACATCACTTAGGGTCATGATTTCTTCTTTCATCCTTGCTTTCTTTGTTTTTAATAAAGAAAAATGTGGGAAGAATCTACAATAAAAGAAATCAGTATTAGTGGAAATGACATTTTTGAAAGCATGGCGGTGTCTTGCTCTAATATCCTGTCATTCACTGGAGCACAGTATACAGTTGCAGCTGTATACTGCCCATATTCCTTACCTTCAGTGCATGTTTAATTGTCATACTAAGAGCTACCACTTATTGAGTATCTGTTGAATACCAAAGACTGTGCCAAGTACTCTTCATGTTCATTATTTTTGTTAATTTTCAGCATTAACTCCCACTGTTTTACAAATTCAGAGTGCTTAAGTCCAGTTCCAGTGTGAGCTGTGGCAGAGCCCAGGTTTAAACCCAGGTCTGCTGTCCCCAAGGCTATTTAGGACTCATGCCATCACAGCTCAGTTCCGTGAAGACAGAATGATTAAGCTTTGGGGACTGGCTAGATAGCTCAGGTGACATAGCTCAGCGGTCTGAAGCGCCTGCTTAGGTAAGTGCAAGGACTGCGATTCCATCCCCGATCCCTAGCACCACATGCTGCGCTAGTCCCACCCCCCAGGGCAGGTGTAGCCAGCCACAGAGTCCAGGCCTAGTGGCGTAGGCCTATAATCCCAGCACCGAGGAGGCTGAAAACAGGCTCACTATGAATTCTAGCTGCATAGTGAGGCCCTGTTACAAACAAATGCATTAAAAATAAATAAAAAACCTTCACTGTGTTCTTCGGCAGTGGGTACTAATTGTGATCATTGATCTCCATGAGTAAATACTGTGATTGCTTCCATGTTCCTGGCACAAGATCCATTGGTTAGATGATTAAATTCAGGAACATTTATTTGCCTTGTTTACAAGAAACAAGTGTTGGATGTATTTTGTTTGGGAGTTTTCTTTTCAGTATATGGCAAAGTTAACCATGAAATGACCTAAGAGATGTTGCCAATAAGAATACAGCAGGTAGTGTTGAAAATTTATCATTAGCAAGAGTTTTCAAGAGGACTTTTTGGGGACTAGGGAGATAGCTCTGCAATCTAAGCACCTGCCTGACAAATGCAAGGACCCAAGTTTGATCCCCAGTACCACATGCTGAACTGGGCCCTAAAACCAGTAGTGGTGGCACATGCCTGTAACCTTGGTGCTGGGGAGGCTGAGACAAGAGGATCACTATGAGCCTGAGCTGCATAGTGAGACCCTATATGTAGTGAATAAGTAAATAATGTTTGTTTTTTGTTTTTAAAAGAACTTTTTAACCTACAGGTTTTTTTTTTAATTTATAATAATGTAGAATTCTTGTATGTAATTTTAGAAATTATAGAGTAGAAAGAAAAATTTAAATTTTCCATATTTCCTCTTTTAAGGGGGCCAGGGAGATGGCTCAGTGGAATAAGCGCTTCCTTTGCAAGCGCAAGGGCCTGAGTGCAATCCCCAGTTCCGCAAAAAAGAAAAAAAAAAGCCATATTTCCTCTTTTAACATTTTTATGTTTTACTTTTTATTTTTTGTGTTTATTTACATATTCTCTTAAATGATCTACTTAATTTATGTATTTAGCTGTATTTCCACTTACATATGTTAATATTTAGCATTTATGGTATTTTGTATTGCTTATATATCTTATGTATTGTGCATGTGTCTTTATGTGCATCACTTTATAGATGCATGTATTTTTTTCTTCATTTAGTTTGTAGTATAGTTTTGTATTCTTTCTCCACATTTAATAGATTTCTATCATGAACATTTTAAAATTCCACCAGTCTGAGAAAAATATTGTAGTGACTAATACTTCCTTTAGTGTGAAGTTACAATTTTCTCATCCCTCTGTGTTAGAAACTTAAGCTGCTTCTGAGTCTGTTCTGAGAAAGAACATAACATATGTTTATATGCATTTTTAACTAAAGCTCTTTCCTCAAAATAGGTTTCTATAAAAATAGTTATGTCTGTGGGGCTGAGGAGATAGCTCAGTGACATAAGCACCTGCCTGGCAAGCACAGGGTCCCAAGTTCAATCCCTGATAGTGAAAAAAAAAAAGTCTAATACCCAGAACTGCAATAACAACTTATGGTTTTGAGTATTTACCATCTAGCAGACGTTGTTTTAAGTGCTTGATATACATAAAGTTATTAATCTCATTACTCTGAGATAGGTTCTCTTATTTTCCCTGCTTATTGGCAGAGAATCCTGAGACACAAAGAGGTGAGATAATATACCCCCAGTTACAGAGTAAAAACATTTCAAAGGCTTTGAGGATTATTGTAAATAATATTTAAAATTGCTGGTTTTTAAGAAAATAGATTATGTTCAGCATTTGATAGTAGCTTTATCAGTAGAAAGCTAAGTCTGTATTTTGACTGGCCTCTTCATCCCCACTGTTCCTCAAGTCATCACTACTGTGCAGGGTTCATTGAGATTTTTCATCTGCTAATTAACATAACCAAAATCATTCTAAATAGTCTTAGTTTCTCCAGGAAACATCTTTTCCATCCATGGAATTTTGACTCATAAACCAAATAGTGAGGTTTTTATCTTGAGACAGATGTCCTCTCCTAAAGTGATACAGCCTCTGAGTCCATCACTAACCAGACATCATTTGACATTTTTGGTTTCCTCTTCAGCCAGTCTAGATGGTGGATCTCTAGTATTGGCTCAACCCCTCACCCCCAAAGTAGTGGCTTTGGTGTAGATAGAACTTGAGGTTAATAATCATTTTCCCTAAGAGTTTTGAAAGCATGACTGTATTGTCCTCCAGCATTCACTGTAACTACTATTAATGCTATTCCTGTTTCCTTGTATATAAGCTATACATTATCACCCCTGGAACACTTTTAAATCTCTTTCTATTCTTTCTTTCTAAAATTTCATGATAGCCCCTCCCCCTTTTCTTTATCATTTATTGTGCTGAGCACTTAATTAGGTTTTAAATCAAGAGACTCCTTCAGTTATGAATTTTTTTTGGGGGGGTGGGTACTGGGGATTGAACTCAGAACTTTGCACTTGCTAGGGAAGCACTTATTCCGCAGAGCTATATCCCTGGCACTGGAAATTTTTCTGATATTATGATTTTGGATATGGCCATCTCTTTATTTCCTGTTGTCTGTTCTCTGTACTCACAGTATCATCTGAGTATTATATACCAAGCAGAGGGTAAACATATCCTACTAATCCTTTTTTTTTTTTTTCAAAGTTTTATTGATAAACAGATAGCAATGAGACAGTTTCAAATCAAATCGGAAGTACAGTTTCAACAAATAATACACTGCATATATTCTTCTTAGTGGTTAATTGCTGTACAAGATGCAGACTTGTGATCCTATTTACAAACACCATTAGAACAAATCATTCTATTCATTAAGAGAATGCAACTATATATCTATCCCAACCTCTTTGAATACACAGATACAAAATGGACATTCATCAGTATACCCCATTTTTTCTAAGTTCTGTTATTGAATATTATAGGTGTGTAAACTCAGCAAAATATTCTACAAGAGTCCAGTAGCCCATAATAGCATTGGGTCTTTTGTTTAACTGGCAATGTCAGAAATTATTGACCTGAGTCCCCCACAGCTCAACTTAACAGCATGGCTTTATTTCTTATATTTCGTCTTCATACTTTTCTACTGGATGGTTAAGACCAAGGTAAAGCAGGACTTATGCAACAAGAGTTCCTACTAATCCTTAAAATAAGAAAAGTGGTATTAGCCTTCCACAGATGAGGAAAATGATGTTCTAGGAAGTTAACGTTGTTGATTCTGAAGTCTGAGATTGATTCCAGTCTTACTTCATCCATACCTATTTTTTGCTTCAGCATAATGATTTACTGAAGATGGGATGGGGGATTGATTCTCAGAGCCTTTTAGAGTATAAGGTATATCAAGGGAGCCCTCACAAAACAGTAATTCAAGCTTCTCTATTGATCTCAGATAGCCAACCTAGTGTAGATTTCAGAAAGGAGATTTTTTTCAGCAAGATTAATGAGTAGGACTCAAATGAAGGAGCAGAACAGGGAGAAGAAGGGAGTGATGAGTCTTCGGAGTCTTCTGTCAGGAAGTGATAAGGTATAGTGGTGTGGTTGAAAAGCACAGAGGTGATCACAGGCTCAGATGGGATTAGCCGACAGCAAATGTTAGCTCCCTTTTTTAGGAAATACTCAAGGGTACAAAGGAATTAATTTCCATGTAGGGGAAAAATAGATATACAGAGAAACTTAAATGGAAATGAGATGTAAAATAGAGTTAGGTACCTTAGAATGCTGAACATGTGGGAACAGAAACATGGCAGTATGCATACAGATTAATTCTGAGGATTCTGGGGGAATAATGTGGATCACCCTATTGATGAGAAGGAAAATTTCTCAAACTCCTCCTCTTTCTTCATGTGATGGCATTATTTATCGTTAAGATGATCCAAGAACACACTTGCCACTTTTAGCCTTAGAGTTATATGATCTACTGCTTAGAATATAATTTTAGCAATTCGTGAAGAAGGCTGTTCATAGTTCTTTAGTTTTGCTGTCTTAGCTTTTTGTACATAGAAGTGTGTGTATATGCATGTACGAATGCGTAAGAGTAAATGTGCCAGAAACAATCCTGATACAGATCCTCACAGGCAATTCTTTTGCAGTTAGCCCTGAGGGCAGCTCCATCCTATGAAGATTTTGTGGCCGCATTAACCATAAAGGAAGGTGACCACCAGAAGGAAGCATTCAGCACTGGCATGCAGAGAGACCTTAGCCTTTACCTTCCTGCCATGGAAAAACAGCTGGCTATACTGGACACTTTATATGAAGTCCACGGGCTGGAGTCTGACGAGGTGGTGTGACAGCTGCAGGACAGCACCTCCTAACTTCAGGGAATAAAGTTTGCTCAAGTATTGTGTTGCCCTACTTAATTTTCAGCAAGAGCTTCAACCCTTTCCAACACCTTCCTTGGGGGAATGGGAAGGAAGAAGCAAAACATAGTGCTTTATATATAATTTTGTAAAATATGTATGTATTTTATGTGATTAAAAATCGAGGTGCTATATACTTCAGTTCAGTGGGCCTACTGGAAACCAAATCGTAATTGTTAAAGACTTGAACAGCAAGTAATAACAGATTTAACAAATAGATTTTATATTGTGTTTTATATTGTTTTGTTTTAGTTTTAATGGCCACTCAGACCCAAATTGCAAATGAGCTAAAATTTGTAACTAAAATTCATAGCCAGTGTTCAACCATCTTAAGAGTTAGACTGAACACTTAGAGTATAAGGTCCTTTGTGAAGCAGTGCTAATGTCGTTTGCTTTTCCTAGACATTCTCCAGTGGATCCTCCTTTCTCGCTCTTAGTGAGAAAAACCTGTGTAGAGAAAAGGTTTGGTCATTTGTGTGACCATGTGATTGTAGGAAGATATGGACAAGGACTGCCATCCCTTTTAGCTCAAGACAAGAGGTTTACCCTGACCCCACACTGGAGGAGGACTGGGTAGGAGAAGTGGGACAAATCATTTAAGGTGACATCTGTCTTGTGCCCACCTTTTGCCACATTTCCCAGGCATTATCTTAATCGGACTTCACAAGGAAACCATGACACTGAGATTCTTATTTCATTTACAGAGTGATGTTTAGAGGCAGAAGGGTCTGCTCACACTCTTCTCCTCAGTTGAGGAGCCAAGTGATTTCCAAGTGTAACCTGTACCATATGTGTATTGAAGTCATGTGCTCAAAGACTGAATTTCCAGAACTTGCTTAAAGAGCCCAGTCTGAGAGTGGGACACAGGACTCGACATTTAGATGAGCTTCCCAAATGATTCTTATGCATACATGGTAGAAGGAACCACTTACTTAAATTGGAGTTTTCAGAATTCCAAAGCCTTCTCCAAGAACCAAATGATCCTTTTTTTAAACAGAAAGAGTCTGTCATTTAAGAAAAATAATTCAGTGGAGAGTGAGAAGTAGAACAGGTTTACTTCACAGCATACTTTGTTGAGCCAGCATCAGCACCCAGCATTCAGGGCCACAGCTCCGAATCTTCCGGTGTTCAGTCATGGCTTCAAGACCAGAAGTGTAGAGCAAACTAAAGGCAGCTGCATGTCAGTCTCAAAAGCTTTCAGGTTTATAGACAGGACTTGCATATTTTATGAAACAACTTTGGAAAGACATCCTACCAAGTGTGATAGACGTCTGACCTATGACCCTTCTCTCCTGCCTTTGGGTCAAGCTGCCACAGTATGCACAGGGGAGATGCCATGAGTGCCTTCCTCTTCAGGAAGGGACACTTCAGCATAAGATAGTTCCTGGGGAGAATATAAGGGACACAGGTGCATGGAGCAGTGCTTAATGATGCTGCAGATCCATAGGGCCAGAGAATTCACTCCTTAGCAGGGTGCTTCATAGAGGGCAGAAACTGACTTTGTCTTTTGTCTCTATAAGCAGACATTTATTTAACCCACATTAATGAAACAAATTGAGCTAGGCAAAATGGCACACATCGATAGTCCCAGCTACTCTGGCAGTTAAAGCAAGAGAATCTCTTAGTCCAGGAATTCAAGGCCAGCCTGGACCGTGGAGTGAGATGCTGCTCTTTAAAATTAAAACATAAGTTGTTGTTGTTTTTTTAAAGCATTAGCCTACAAAAGAACTTCTAGAAAACAAACTTAGGAAAACAATATCTTATGTTTTAAGGCTAGAGAAGAATTAAAGTAATGTTGATTATATTTTAGCATTTGTTGTTGGAAGCTGCTTAGGTGTGTGGAATATTTTCCTCCCATTCATCAGAGCATTCTGTGGTGTTCTGTTCTTTTTTTGAGGGGGCCAGTGGGTGGACAGTCTCACTATGTAGTTCAGGTTGGCCTTAAGCTCACTGTAACCCAGCCTGGCCTTGAACTCTTGGTGATCTCCTGCGTTAGTCTCCCAAGTGCTGGGATGTTAGGCATGCCCCACTACACTGGGCTTGGATGTCCTACAGCTAGAGTGAATATGAAGGTAGGACTTGGAGATAATTTAGACTTCTGCCCATGATACCCACTTCTCACAGGGAAAAAGGAAAAGGTACGCTGAGTGAAGATGCTTTAAGCACTGCTCTTAAGAGGGGGTACTTTCAGGAAATTGGTGGTGGTGTGAAGCTGACTGTTCACAACTGCTGGTGCTCCTGGCCACCTCAGGTCAGCTCTTGTTGTCTTGGAGAGCAGGTGGGCACTCTGAAAACACCTCAAGTGTGCCACCAAGTCTCTGAATGCACACTGAAGGACAGCTGCCCTGCGTGGCCATTTCACATCTTTACAGGTACTGCCTACATGTTTACAACTTAACTTAATGAAGGATGAGTTTAATGTTACCAAAATAGAGTAGCTTGATAACTTGAATATGTTCCATTTTCCAGTCACCCCTTTTCCAGCTATATAGGAAGAGGGTAATGTTTTTCAGTAGATATTTTCCTTACCAGGGAGTGTTTGCCGAAGATAAGTAAAACAGAGGATTCTTTAAAAAGAAGGCTAGAAATTGAATGTAATGCTAAACAAATTCAACTTGACACAAATAGATCCTCCTCCTGGACCTATAATATTTATGTCTTGATTTACAGTCAATTGTGCTGATGAGCAGTGACTTCCTAAAAAGGGGACAATAGGGTAAAATACTTTCAGCTTTTTTCTGTAGCTCTCCAAGAGCTCTGGGATTCTTGAGCTTTCCTTTACTCTGACACTGGGAGAGAAATAACTGGTATGTTTTCTGCTTTCATTGCTTGAAACATCTTTTCGTGCATAACCATTTGGAGAAAAGGGAGCTATGTCTTACTTAGTGTGGCAGAGCAAGGCATTGCCCTTAAGAGAGCTTCAGGGCAGAACCCATGTTCTCATTGGTAGCTGTAGGGCAGATGGATGCCAAGACTTGTGGCACCTGGGAGAGGTGATCTGCTACCAGGTGAGTGCTTTGAGAAGCTTGTGCTCTGCTGCTTTCAATTAGTGCTTCCATATATATCTCTAAAAAATTAATACTTTCAACTTTATATTTTCAGTAGTGTTCCTAAGAAAAGTATGTAGTACAGACTAATAAACCAGTATACTTTATTAAATTTGAAATGGAAAAAAATTATAAAGGAAATAATTTGGTTATGGAAACCATATATATGGAGAAATACCAGGGTATTACAGTCAGAGGACCATGAGCAATAGAAGAGATAATAAAGCATTTTGGAAACTTCTTTTTCCTACTAAGCTACTGTGTTCTTCAGGAACTTGGTTATACAATGGTGCATTTCTGAGACACTGATTAAAACCAGTTGCTTCTGGTTTTAGTCATAGATTTATAACTATTCAGTTCCCAAATCCTTTTTTTTTTTAAGGTTATCTGCAAATCTTTTTAAATTTAAGTTATAAGATGGTGAATTTATAAGTAAAGTATATGTGAAGCCATTGTTCTGTTCAGTGAGCTGCTGTATTTGATCTTGAGGGCCTGACTTTGGAGGCTTCATGACATCAGACAGCCTGCACACACTTCAGTGTGTGTGGTGAGCCTCGGGTCCTGTGAAGTGGATGGAGCATGCTGTATTTAAAGATACGTTCCACTTCTGGATGACCCTTTGTAACTTGGCAGTTGCTTGCTCAGGGGTTTCATAGTCGTGAAAATACTCGCTGTGTAATGGTATTTTAATACATTGTCTGTTACAGGTCATTTCAGCAATTTCATAAACATACTGTACATTAGGCCTTCCCTATCAATGTTCCTATTTTCTCCTGCTTTACACAGTCAGTAGTCCTGTGAATAGTGACCATTTGCATGATTTCTTGTCACGCTGCTACATTCAGGCACTCCAGGGCATGATGGAACGGTCATTGATAGTGCCTCTGGGATAGTTGATGCATGCATTGATCTCTCTCCTCTGTTTTTAAAATAACCTTTAATTACAATGAAAAGCATACCACTACTGTGCAATGCAAAAATTCTTTTCAGATGAAAGATGTTTTCAGCTAGGCAATGTAAAAATATAAGAATCAGTATCCTTGTTTTAAGTGTTTTCATATATTTTATTGTTTTGTTTTTGTTCTTTTGAGACAGGGTCTCACTCTGTGGTTCAGGCTGGCCTTGAACTTTCTTTGTAGCCCAGGCTGGCCCCAAACTCGCAGCAATCCTCCTGCCTCAGCCTCCCAAGTGCTGGGATTACAGGTGTCTGCCACCACACCCAGCCTATAAATGTTTTCATATATTTTAAATTGTGGTCAGTATTTCTTCTCTGTATCTTACAAACCAAAACCACCCTGGGTGGTAGGTACTGCTTGCAAAGCTGATCTCCTTGTAGACTCGTGTGTGTGTGTTCACGGTTGTATAAGGAGTCAACAGTCATAAGAAAGGTAATGAGCCAGGTTCGTGGCATGTTTAATGTATGATTCCATGTGTCCTGAGAATTTAACTAGAATGTCATTAAACAGCCCAACTACCTCATGTGAAATTGGCTGTGGACAATCTGTTAGATGAGAAATGTGCTCATATAAATTTATTCTGGGGGATAGATTGAACAAAATGATGTCTATATAAAGAAGAAATATGTTAGACCAGATGCCAAAGGCTAAAATGTACATACATTTCTTTGATTTACTTCTTAAGTCAGTGTATAATTCCATACCCAGGATTCTTATAAATGTTTGTGGTTTCGTGTATCCTTGCACTTTGGGTATCTGTCACATGCAGTCTGTTACCTGTTCTAGTCCCTCACATTCTTGGTATCATAGTGCCAGTAGAAACCAAGATAAACTACAAATGTCAGATGTTTTATTGACTTCTTAATTTAATGGACCTTTACTTAGAATATAATGTGATGGAGACTTTTAGTACCAGCCAATGAATGAGAATTTCATGTTTAGGTTTATACTGTTTTTCTGTCCTAGTTATTCTGTAGCTCATGGGGAAAGGGGGAATAAGGGAGGGTTCTACTTTTTTTGGAAAATGTTTGAAAACATCTGTCGGATTTTATATTCATTAGTTATAATAAACTTATTTTTAAAGTATTTTATAAAGTGCATAAGTATCATTTGTGAAACACACATGCTTTGCCAGCCTCATTCTGAGGCATGCCTTGCCAGGCAAATATTAATACATCTCTACCTCTAGATAAGCTGTGTAGGGCCGTACTGCTGTTTTTCTCAAGTTGCAAATGAGCAAGCTAAAACATGGGTTAGAGAAACCTCTTGGCTAAGGCAGCTAACGAGGAGTGGAGCCAGGCAACAAACCGAGGCAGCTCGGCTCTGAAATCCTCATAAAACTGGCATCTCAGCAAAGGCTAATTTTGAAGACAACTGACCAGTTTCATGATGTTGCCCTGAGAATTTTAAACATTCTAGAAAGATGAGCTCCTTTCAGAGGTACCTCTGTTCTTTGACAGGACTTCACTCATTTTCAGAGATACAGTACCACAAATACCAGATAGTAGATGGATTTACTTAGTGTGCCTGAGTGGCCTTGTGCTTAATTAGTTATATTTAGTTGCAGGCTTTTTGTTTTTTTGAGATGTTGTTTGTTTTCCATTTATGTATTTGGTACAGGGTCTCACTATACAGCTCGAACTTATAGTATTCCTCCTGTTTTCAGCCTCCTAAGCACTGGAATTACAGGCATGTGCCACCACACCCAGACTTGGTGGCAGGCTCACTGTGCCCAGGGAGCAGGGCCGGCGCAGCATGCAGGACTGATGATTGAACCCTAGTGCAGACTTCTCACCTAATGCTAAAGGAGTGTAGAATATATTCACTGAGTCAACTCCTAGAGGACCTTCCCGCTGTTGCCCACATCAGTCCTGTCTAGCCACCCCTTTAAACAAGAGCTGATAGTGAGAGGGATTTAGGAGAGAGAATAAAGTGTCAGGCAGCAGGTGCTTGAGCAAAAAGGCCATGTGGACCCGGGTGCTGGGGTGGCCATGTTGGAAAGGAAAGAGTTGGTAGAGGGAAAGGATGGCACAGCCACTCCAAGAGGCAAAGGAATCGTTGCTCACTAGGTACTCCGACGAAGTTCCCTGCAGGCTGGCTCCCCTGTCCAGCTCTCTAGAGTTCTTATTCTCTGCCTTAAAATTCCTTTTCTGAAAAAGCCCATTCCTTTTTGGTATACTGCACTAACCTTTCTACTTGCACTAACTGTAGTGGTCTTCTGTCCCTTGAGAAAATGACAAACTCATTGTTCTGCATGGAGTATGAATAAATCTTCAAATCCAAAATGAAAGTATTGAGGAATTGCTACCACTGTCTTCACTGTGTAAAATGGAAATGCTAGACCTAAAGGCTATATCTCTTTGGGCTCTACATTCCCTTTAAGGTGTGTGCAACTCCCCTCCCGCACTGAACCCCAAAATCTTTTCATCGTCACCATTTTCTTATAACATGAAATGTTAGTACTGTGCAAGCTGTGTAAGGCTGTTAGTACAGCCGTCTCATGCTTCTCCATGCCTGGACACTGGGATGTTCGTCTCGGTGTCCATTTCCATCCAACAGCTCCCCCTTTGGGGCATTTGGGGACCTTGCAAAGAACTCCTTTCAGGAGGGTGAGCAGCTGGTTTCAGAAAGAACGTGTAGATGCTCTCCTGGCTGCCAGTGGGTGGGGGAATAGAGTTGCTTCACGATCAGGAGGGACTGCTGGAGGAACGTGTAGTGGCTGCATTTACTCCTTGCTATTCTTTCAGAGCTTGCAGCTACTGGTGCATTTTCTGTGTCATTCTACGGTAACCTGAACACAGCTGGAAGATGTGTTCACATGGCAGCAGTGGAAAAACCAAAAGAGCAAGGAAAATTGACCTGTCCCAGGGGTCCATTCTTTCTTTTTCCCTGTATTTTAGGGAAGGGTCTACAAGGTCTTCAGGGTCTCACTACTAGATCAGACTCGCAGTGCTCCACATGTTTACAGCCTCCCAAGAGCTGGGATTACAGGTGCGCACCACCACGCCAAACCTCTTTTTTCTTTTTTTTTTAAAGCAGAGTTTTGCTAAGCCAGTTCAGACTGTCTTTGAACTCACTATGTAGCCCAGGCTGGACTCAAACTCATGTTGATTCTCCTGCCTCAACCTCCTGAGTGCTGGGATTAAGACTTGTGCAACAACACTTCGCCCAGAGTTCATACTTTCCATGTTTTTACATTCACTTGAGCAGATTAGAAGACCTTCCCTTGACTTTATGGACAAGCATCACACATCTGTTCCTGTACTAGGTGGGGGGCCTACCGGTTAGCTCAGTTGTTTAAGTGCCTGCTTAAGCAAACACAGTCAGGCTCAGGATACCGTGGTTCAATCCCCAGGTTCTCATACTTTACCAGACCTGCCCTTAAGGCAACCTAAGCCAGCCAAAAAGAAAAAAAAAAAAAAAAATGATACTTAAATTTTCAAATGTTTCACAGTAAAAGACACCTTGCCATTAACCCCCTCAAAATATCCCTCCTCAATTTAAACACACTCCATTGTTCTTAGCACTATGTGAAGCCATTCTGGAATCCTCTTTCATGTTTTTAATGGTGCTGTCACAACTGCCTCCATGTCCTGAGTCAATTCAAAATGTTTACCTTTTAAATTCATTTTGACTGAGAAAGAGCCAGAAGGCACATGGTGCGTGGCGTGATGAACACGGTCGATGAGGACACCATCAGGTTACAGCCTGCCTTTCTGCTGGGTGGTACTTGGCATCAGCAATACCAAATTTATATCACCCCTCAAAAAGACACAAAAGGTGACTTCCAGAACTGCTTCGGCAAGGCTAGAGCGATGGGGTTGTCTGTTCAAAGGAAGAGAGAATATTTGGGGTGAT